CATTTGTGACCCTGGAGCACAAAAGCAGTCTTAAGTCGCTGGGGTATATTTGTTGCAATAGCCAAAAATACAACCTGGTCTCGTAGCAAAAATACATTGTATGGGTCAAAATTATAGATTTTTATTTTATGCCAAAAATCATTAGGATATTAAGTAAAGATCATGTTCCATGAAGATATTTTGTAAATTTCCTACTGTAAATATATTAAAACTTAATTTTTGATTAGTAGCATGCATTGCTAAGAACTTCATTTGGCCAACTTTAAAGGCGATTTTCTCAATATTTTGATTTTTTTGCACCCTCAGATTCCAGATTCATCAATGGAAAGCTTATTTATTCAGCTTTCAGACGATGTATATGACGATGTATGATTTTGTGGTCCAGGGTCACATATGCATTTAAAAACAAATGACAAATCATCCATTGTCTAGAACGAGCAAACACAATCATTGAGGTACTGAATTTCACCATCATCATGTTGTGAATTATAATGATTGTTGTTTTACATCATTAATAAAGTCATTATTCTCGTTTGGTGTAAACAGACACATTTGAATCTATTCTTTCCATTGTAAACATTAAAATAAAACAAGAAAAAGAACATTATACATTAAAATCAATCATTTAAAAAGTTGCAACATTTGATTGAGGAGTACATTTCAAGCTTTGGCAATATAATGTTTCCAGAATCCTGAGAAGATTAAATAAACCTAATATAACCCAGGCATCATCCATACACGGTGATCCATATTACAGTTTCTAAATGTTATTATCTTTGGATTTTTTAATTTCTTTGTAATCCCAACATCTGGAACATTAAGTCTGGCCGTCAAATTATGCACAATAAAAGTGTTTTAAGTTCAAATTTGATTTCTAGTTGAGTTTAAAAGAATAGTTTACCCAAAAATGAAAATTAGCTGAAAATTTAATCTCCCTCAGTCCAGCCAAGATGTAGATGAGTTTGTTTCTTCATCAGAACAGATTTGGTGAATGTAGCATTCCATCACTTGCTCACCAATGGATCCTCTGCAGTGAATGGGTGCCGTCAGAATGAGAGTCCAAACAGCTGATAAAAACATCACAATAAACCACAAGTCCATCAGTCAATGTCTTGTGAAGCCAAAAGCTGTGTGTTTGGAAGAAACAGATCCTTCGTTAAGAAGTTTTAACTTTAAACCATCACTTATGGCTGAAATATGAGCCCCATCTTTAATATTGCTTTCTCCATTGAAAAAGTCACCTTGTCTGAATCAGGAGAGAAATATGCACAAATCAAGAACCATTTCAAACAAAAACAAAAAACAGATCAAAACAGTTCTAAACAAATGTGTTGATACGGTATATATTGATGTGAGAGGACAACGGGATGGAAGCGTTATTATGGGTTATGAACTCATATTTTGACCAGAAACAACAGATGTAAGTTAAAACGCCTTAATGAAGGATTTGTTTCTTACAAACAGGTAGCTGTTTGCTTCAAAAGACATCAATTGATGGACTGGTGTGGTGTGGATTACTTGTGGATTATTGTGATGTTTTTATCAGCTGTTTGGACTCTCATTCTGACGGCACCCATTCACTGCAGAGCATCCACTGGTGAGCAAGTGATGTCATGCAAGATTTGTTCCCATGAATAAACAAACTCATCTAAATTGTGGATGGTCTGAGGGTGAGTACATTTTCAGCAAATTTTCATTTGAACTAGTCCGCTGCCTTGCGAACACTATCATTATGTAGAAGTTTCAATAATTAGTTACTGAACATGCAGACATGTCTTTAAGCCTTTTAAAATCATGTTTAATAAGAGTCTCTGAATTACAGTTACAATAAGAAGAGGAAAAAGGCAAAAGCAATACAGGTATCTGAAAGATATCAATTATTAGGCAGCCAAAAGCTGAAAAAAAAAAGCAAAAGCAACATACTGGCCAGGGATGTCAAACAAACACACACGTTTTTGAACTACATTCCAGTTTTGTCTTCAAGCTCACCAGTCATTCACCAAATCTGGTCAAGCTCCCTCTTAAAGGATATTAAATTATGCCCCACAAATGAAAGCAGAAATGAACTATACGTTTGGCATGACATTCCAGTTTTCCAGAGGCTGAGCGTGTAGCACATCACCATGCATCACAATAAATGAACGTGGATAATAAAAAGACTTGCAGCTAACTCGGAAGCATGACCACAATAAGTGGTGTTGTTTAACAAATCATAGCCTGTATGATCTGCAGTACATCACAAAACAGAGGGACGACATGGAAACTTTAGAGAGCAAAATGGCCAGGCACATTATTGACACAAGAATTATGAGCAATCTATGCACACCGCAGCAGGGCCAGAGAAGAGGACTTTATAATGGCCGTGTAAGCTGAACCTGTGCAGGACAGCCAAGCAAAGCGAAGCAAAAATAAAAAGTCAACAATAATTTGCACAATTCAAATCCACACTTACCAAGTTCATTGCCTGAATCAAAAGAAAGAAAGACCATTAGTACAATATTTTGAGAGCAATTTTACTAAACCTTTTGTCTCTGACAGCAAAGTTTTGAATGTATGCTAACTACATGAAAGTCCATTCTATTCTAAAGCTTATCAAATTATTTTCTAGACCTTAAAATTGCTTGTAAGTGTGAAAAAGTTTAAGAAAAATATGCGCCTATGAACAGCTTGTCAGGCAGAAATTGTCATACTTTGTGCAAAAAATGTGCCACATACTTTAAGTCCATTTGTTCAATGTTTTTACAACATACCTGAACAAAAAATAGTTAAACACTAAAAATAAAAATAATGTGCATTTTTGAAAATAACTTAATTCTGTCTTGTAGTTCATGGATATATTGGCAGGGGGCGCCAAACACTACAATCTAAAATGATCAAAAATACTGCATCGCTATTAATGCAATTGCTACATTTTAATGTTAAAGGGTTAGTTCACCCAAAAATGAAAATTCTGTCATTAATTACTCACCCTCATGTCGTTCCAAACCCGTAAGACCTACGTTCATCTTCGGAACACATGTTCCCAAACGTAGCAAGGACATCGGTAAAACAGTCCATGTGACATCAGTGGCTCAACTTCAGTTTTGCGAAGCTACGGGAATACTTTTTGAGCGCAAAGAAAACAAAAATAACAATTAATTTCACAGTTCTTCTCCCCTGAGTTACGTCTCCCGCCATTTTGGAGAGTACCCAGGGGTGTAATCGACGTAAGCAGCGTTGTTTACATTCGGGGGAGAAAGCGCGCGCATGAACGTAATCTGTGTAATCAGTGTTGTTTACGCTTATGGGAAAGCGTGCGTATGCACGGTGATACTCTCTAAAATGGCAGAAGACGTAACTCGGGGGAGAATTGTTGAAAAAATTGTTATATTTGTTTTCTTTGCGCTCAAAAAGTATTCTCGTAGCTTCTCAAAACTTGAGCCACTGATGTCACATGGACTATTTTATCGATGTCCTTACTACATTTCTGGACCTGGGAACATTTCAGTTGCGTTGCTGTCTATGCAGGTGTCTTGTAGTTCATGAATATATTGGCAGGGGGCGCCAAACATTACAATCTAAAATAATCAAAAATACTGCATCGCTATTAATGCAAATGCTATATTTTAATGTTAAAGGGGTCATATGATGCGATTTCAATTTTTCCTTTCTCTTTGGAGTGTTACAACACTGGATAGCTGGCCAATCACAGCACACCTCGCTTTTTCAGACCGATGAGCTTTGTAAAAATCGTTTCAGAAAGGCGGGGCATAGAGGAGAAACAATGTACAGTATGTGGAAAATAGTGTTTTTTTAACCTTAAACCGCATAAACACATTTCATTACACCAAATACACCAAATAATGTTCTTTTTAGCAGCATCATGTGACCCCTTTAAGAATTCATTGCTTACGCAAATTATATTTATGTAACTGTAATCTAACTCACTTATCCTCAGTGTAAGGCAAAAACATTTCAAAATAAAACAAAAATAGTCCAGTATTTTATTCTAACTTTGTGCAATCCTGATTAAAATCACTTTATACACAATTTAAATTTACACATTTTAAAAATGTTAAGTTATCCTTTAAACAAAGGATTTTTACCATAGACCAACTATATTACATATTCTCTCTATTCACACACACACACAGACAGATAATATTAATAAGATTTAATTTAATTTCAACAAATATGTTTACGTCTCGGCCAGACTCATAAAATAATCTGCATTTGAAAAGCCATACTTGTCGAACGCTAATTCTCATTACAGTATTGTGACATCCAGCAGTTTCTCAGACAGACTTTACCAATCAAAACTGAGTCTTGGTGACACACACATGGAGTCTGGATCCAAGGAAAGGAAGGTTGAAGAAACAGTGAGCTTCAGGAAAGCCAACAGGCAAAGATCTCAGCCATTCATGCACCTTCAGCCTCGACGACAATCAGCAGCGCCAAACACAAAGCACTACACTACATGACACAGGTTTCCGTAGCACTTCCAACTTTGTTTTTTTGCCAAATATTGATGCAAGCACTCATTCCTCGAGATTTTATTCAGCCAATAGATAACGGGAACTTCTAGCGATCTCTCATTGGTTTTTGCAAAGGCAAATGCTGTTAAGCCCCGCCCCACCCGCAGGAAAGCGCATACCTTCAGCTTTGACTGTATCTCGCGAGATTTTCTCCGGGCAAGAACCTGCAAATGGCTAGAAACCTGCAGAACAGAAAAGCCAAAGAGGAGGAAAAGAAAAAGAAAAGGAGGAGGAGGAGAAAGAGAGAGAAGCCGTAACCAAAGAGGGAAAAGATCCGCGTTTCCAACCTACCTTTATACCTGCTTGATACTCTCGAACTTTCTTCCGCGCTAACACCTGTATGTGACTAGATACCTGAAGAATTTTGAGATAGTTTAACAAAATACACATGCACACAGTCAGGAATATTTCACCTACTGAACTGAAAACTGATATTAAAGTTGTTGTTATGCAAACAAATATTTAGTGCAATCAATAGTATATATATATATATATATATATGAAGTGCATTAAATACCTGTTTTCTTGTGCGGGTTTTGCCTGTTCTCAGCTTGATGTATCTGGCAATAAGCTCATTGCGACCTGAGAAGAAAGAACAGTTTCTGTAAGTTTCACATAGACCAAAAGGTGGCGACAAAAGCAATGAAAGAGAAGCACGCGTCTCTCAACAACACTGGCAGAACTCCTGAGACTGAAACCACAAATAGAAAAACGAATAAAGTAAATTTTGGCTTTATATACTAGATTTGCCATCATATTTTCAATTCAATGCCAATTAATATTTCACAGCAGCAGTATTCAAATGTTAAAAGAAAAATAAACTTATGACAATGATAAATGTGTTAGATTTCTCTGAAAACATGACTTTATTTCTTCTAAAGTAAATGTATTGTTTTAAGGATGTTTACTGGAAAAAAATTCTAATTAAGAAAAAAAAAAATCAGTGTGAATGTCCCATGCTTTATATTTGCTATTTTTTGTAATATAAAGCAGTAATTTAAGTAGTTTTAATTTACCGTGAAACTCCTGAAGGAACCTATGGCTTAAAAACACTAACTTCTATTAACTATTTATTTAAATACTGACCATTTACCTACATATAAAATAAATAATGCCTATAAATAAAAATAATAATAAAAATACTAGAAAAATATATTTCTACTTAATATCTATGTAATTGAGAAATGTTAATAATCAAGTATTATTTAATACCGGTAATAGAAGTTTAGTAATTAGAATTAAAACTTGGTAACCATGAACTACAGGAAAACCCGGCAGTTCTTAAAAGCTGAAGAATTCCAAAGGAACTCCGTTATTTTTACAGGAAAATACAAAAGTATATCGTTTACATTTAGCGCATCAATTATACATGTTATGCAAGACTCTCGCTCGCTCTCGCTCTTTGCGTGTGTGAGAGAAAGCGACGGCGAGTCGTGCGCCTTCACACTAGAGTTTACGTTGTGCCAAATACACAAACACAGGTGCGCTGCGCATCCGTTCAAATGAACTGAAAAATATCACGGATCGCTTGCTTGAGAGTAGGGATCTGAAGCGCTCAGTCAGAGTGTTCTGTGAGTGAAAATATATCTGTGCTAATCATATACTCAGCCTCCAACTCACACACTGGCGAGTAAAATCTGAGAATTTATTAGCCATTGGCTAATATTAGACATCATTTAGTCGCCCAGAGTGAATATTTAGTCGCATATGCGAGTGATTTACTCGCAATGTAGAGGGTTGTCACTAAAGACAAAAACCTGTCCTGAAATTTGAATGCATGGGGCATTCGGCGCCCCCTTCAGGAAGACAACTTCAAGTTTGTTATCAAACTATTTTAGCTAGCGACATTTGCCGACCATTGATTAGCAGTCTTAGAAGTATTTGCAACGCTGAGTTCAAGTAGAATATGAATGCAAAAAAAATTGTGATAAAGTTTAAAATATAATTAGTGAGATTTAAAAGCACATTGTGAGAAATAAAGTCACAACTTTTATACATATCAAATTTTCAGAATGAATAAAGTTGCAATTAAGAGTATTAAAGCTGAAGGTTAAAATTAGTTTTGTTTTTTAGTTTTTACTCTGAGGCCGAAATGGTCTTCCACAGCAGAGAGACCACTGCACTGATTTGAGTTTTGTTTCTGCACACCCTTCCCCTGACACACCCTTTCTCTCCCTCGCTCTCTCTCCGAGCCTCCGCATTCCTCGCATTCCACTGCGCCTGTGACATCTGCCCCACACAACTTGATTTGATGAGGGCAACAGCCTGGAGCATGCGTTCAGAGAGCGAGAGAACGGCCCGAAAAAGCGAGGAGGAGAGAGAGAGAGAGAGAGAGAGAGAGAGAGAGAGAGAGAAACAAAGAGCTTTGCTGTTTCTGCCAACAACTGGCAGCTGAAGATCCCGTCTTACCAAACGGACACCCACACACACCTGCCACGAACCGTCCTGGCAGGAGGCAAAGAATAACACGGACTCCCTGTGTCCCATATTCCCACCTCCCAGCTCTGATTCCCTCGTTGAGCTTCTTCTCAACCTTTGCTCTTAGAGCGTGTCTGTAAAGGAAGCTCAAGCAGGAGTGTTTTGGTTCAGGAATAACACCTGAAAACTTTTTGGGATGATTAAACCTCCTAGCCGGTCACCGGAAGGTTGCTGGATCAATTCCTGCAAGGAATGGACTGTGATCCACTAACCAAACCACAATCAACACTTACTTATACAACACAAACTTATCTTGTCCTTCAAATGCCTTTCATGCTCTGCTAAGATGGTTTACCAGAACGTGCTGTTGAACAGAAACGAGACTCAAGGTGGATCAGAAGGGTGGATGGTACTTGGCTCTATCCTCAGAGTGCAGGGCAATTTTGCAAGCCTCTATTCCCGTTGAAGCACAGGTGGAAAATATCTTGAAGCTGTAACTACTATGAAACCAGACAGACGGCATTTCTGCCATTCAATTGGGCTGTAAATCAACCAGGCAAAGCCAAGACGCTGAGAAGCGGAGATGAGGGAAGGCCTGGTAGAATCAGAAGTTTTGTGAAAAATTTTGTAAATTTCAGTTTTGGCTTGACATTTGGCATGCAACATATACAGATTAGAGCCCGACCGATATGGGTTTTTTTGAGGGCCGATACCGATATTAGGGAGTAAAAAAAAGGCAGATATCGATATACCGGCCAATATTCTGTGTGTATATTATAGTGCATTATAGTCAAAATTTTGTACACTTTCCCATTCGTGTGTCCAAACTTTTGACTGGTACTATATATAGAATACAGTATATACATAAACAGAATATATATATACGTAAACACATTTTTTGCAATGATCACTCAAATGTGGTGATCAAAATGACGTGACAAAGATATGTAATGGAGGCAGGGCATTTAACAATTTAACAAACTTTATTATCCAAAATGAGTCTGACATCAGTGCACTGAACAGTAAAGTTGAAGTTTATTCAACTTTATTTTAATTCAATTCCATTCAACTTTATTCAGTTTATTTCACTTGGGAACATTCATTCACGGATTTCACACAGACTAAACTTACTAGAGAAGTGTGAAATAATATACCTCTGTAAATAAATACAACTTAAATTCACTTCTTGTGAACTTTAATGCCCTTTGAATATAACGTGTACGTTCCCTTGGAACTGGAATCATGACGGAATATCATGTGAAGTCCACTTCGCAGGGCACTTACGGTCGAATAAGACAACGCTTGAATGCTGCTGCCTGAACAAGAGACCTCCTTACTGAAGTGAAAGTGTTGGCTGGTGTCACTATCTCGCGAACGCGGCGGCGGATCTCCACCAAATTCGGGGAATCCCTTCAGCTCGAGGAGCCCTCTCGAACGCTGCCCTCCGCGCGTCAGTAGCCCACCAGGATCGCCAGATCAGTCGGCACCCGACCGCCCGTAACTCCCGGACCCCCGGGGCTATCGACGCGGGGGTGGTCTCATTCGAGACGTACACTCGATTCGGTATTCGAGAGGGTTCCTCAAGCTGAAGAGATCCCCCGAATTTGGTGTGAATCCCCCACGCCGTTACGGAGATATGGCCGTTCAAATTTTCAATGGTATTCTATACACTTAAGCTTTAAAGCATTTCATCCAGGTCGCCAGTAGCAAACAATGGAGCTCTGCTGGACAAACTATGTAATTACACCATTTAATTTGCGTTTTATGTTCTGTAAAAAATTTTCATATCGGTGGCATATCTGCGGCATATTTGCCGATACCGATATATCTGCGACAGGCTCATATCGGATATATTGGTCGGGTTCTAATACAGATGTCAGGTGTGTGTGTTCTCCAATGGATCAAGAGAACTTAGTTCACTTATCAAATTCATTTCTTTTGAATGCAACTGTATATCTCACAACTGTGACCTCAAATCTTCATTTATTTCTTGAGACGTAAACAGGCTCTCGCAATGAGAGATCCAAAAAATATAAAGGTGCAATTCTGCAATATAGTCGCCATTACAAGAAACAGTCACTTTTACGAGAAACAAGTCGCTATTGGGAGATGTAAGGTCTCAAATACAACTGCAAAACTCAAGTTAACCTCTTGGAGCCATTTCCTGCTGGAAGGTTGAAAAAAATGAAAATTCATTCAAAGCATAACAACTCATAAAAGTTGTCTGTGCAACACACTTATTTCCACCCAACAATGTTGGTGTAATAAAAAAAAGAGGTGGCTCTGCACTTCACATTGCACTGCAGGTTTTTCAGGCCCGATCCAAGCGGTGTTAACAGGGCCAGAGCAGACAGCGTTCCCGAGGCCTCACATCAGCGGTGGTATTATGAGCGCTGTCGTCATTCTCCTCGTGAGTGGGCTCCTTCAGTGGCAGATGACTACATGTAAATGGATAAGGTGTTTATAGTCACAGGAGAGAGCAGGCTCTCCATGAGGTCGGCATTCGCTTTGCTGGAGATGGCAATGAGTGTCAATGACTTGCTTGGATTTGTTTAAAACTTGATTTATTAATAAATCCAATTTGTGGCATTTCACTTTATTGGCACAGTGACTGCGGCTAAGTGAACTGAAATGCTTAACATGTCAAATCATCTCACAAACCAGCTTTCACTGGAAATAAACCACTAAACCTGTGGCGTATGAGTCATACATACCATGAATGACAACCGATATAAAACAGAACCAAGGATACCACCATAAGGCCACATGGTTTCAAGGGAATCCCTCAATAAAAAAAGACAGATACACAACCGATATCAGGCATAAGCTTCCAGAAAATGCCAACAATGTCCTATCAACAATGTCAATATTCCAGTATTTTCTTATCAGCCAGTCACGGCATCTGAAACACGCCTTTGAAGCGTCCTTCTGACTTCATAGTGAGTCAGTAAGTATGTTTAGATTTACGGTAAGAGGAGGATAAAGCCTGAATGATGTAATCCCAGACTAAAGAAGAGACTCTGGAGGCTTGCAAGATCTAGTGTGCTGCCTTGTCGTCTACAGCCAACACAGGCAGCCGCACCTTCTAAGGCAGGATGAAACGGATTGAATTGCTCTATAAATGCCAGCTCCTTTGTTGACGCATGCTACATAAAAGAAAGTCCTTGCATAGAGTCTACAAGAGATGCAACTAACACTCACAGTTGATTCTAACAGACAGATGTTTGCGTGTTGCTAAACTAGGGAAAACCTCTATTAAAGTGCAAAAAATACGCAGTGCACACAAATATTGAAAGCGATTTCAAAGATTTCATAGATTGAGTAGTTTTCCCATTTATACTTTCATAGCTCTGCTTAAACTTGACATTTCCCTCAACTCGGACCCTGTCCCAAATGACACGCTCGAGATTACCAATCCACACTGGCTCTGATTTGGCAAAAGGCCACCCTTAGCCAAAAGCGACCACCCTTAAGAATTATAAAATGACAAATGGGAGACCCTAAAGCAATGGTGACAAATCCTGCTCTTTACTGGAAGAATACTGGAAGTTTCCAGTATTCCTTAAGACTAGTCATTAGTTGGTTCAGGTGTGTTTAATTAGAACTGGAGCTAAACTCTGCAGGATAGTGGCCCTCCAGGAGCAGAACTGGCATTTCTGACCTACCGAATTGGACAAGTCTATGAAAGGTTTGTCGAAATGCATTCAGGGACTACCCTCGAATATGGCCAAAACAAAGGATGTTACATGGTTGCATTGTTTTGTTGGCTACTGTTAGATATCTCTGCACTGGGAGCATGCCTATGACACCTACAAATGCTGTCTAGGTAGGAAGCACACACTTTGGAGCTCTATGAAACAGCAGCCAGGGGACTCTGATTGATATATAATCAGTAGAGTCCCTCAGCAGTGACTTAAACCGTAGGCATGTGGAAACTGCGCGATTTCCAGTTTCTGTGAATGAATTTCCTGAGTAGCCTGTATAAAAGCAAGGAACGTCCGTGATATGGCGTATACGTCTTCTGAATTGATCAAACCGAAATTAAACGTTTTGAATTAAAAGAAATTTTTTTAGAGCACTGCACAAGAAAGAAGAATGCATATATGAACACAACAGTTGCGTTTAACATAGGGTTCTTCAAGGAAAAGACAACTGCAACCCTAAAAGAACCTCAACGTTTCTTCACCAACGCTGGGTTGTGTTCAGGACGCTTTCTGTCAGTTTGCCTTGCTTTCTCCCAGTCTGGTTTGTATCTCGAGGCTTGGCTTGATAATTCAAACCAGCACTTGGGTTTTGCCTTGTCTGTTTCTCTGAGGAGAAGAAAGGCGAGCATACAGTTTGAGGAGGAGGGGACCAAAGCTAAACACCTGGACCCTCCCAATCCAGCCAAACTGGAGTGTCCATCTGCAAATTATGAATGCACTGAAAAAGAGACGTATCGCTCAAGTCAAGAGTTAAACCGGATTTGGTCATTTTTGCAATTTAACAAATCGCAGCAACAGATTCGCTCATTGTGTCCCACTAACTTACTGATACAGCTGTTTTGTAGTCCGTATATTAATAAATTCGAATTAGTTTTAGACTAGAAATACACTCGACACAAGTGCATGGTCCCACTTAACATGCTTTCTTGACGTGTCAACTACGTCCTCAATAGGGGCGATAACGTTACCTTCAAAGGTCTGAGTCATTATTCAGGTAGATATCTATAGTTTAACCAACTTGCAAAGCAAGATTATCTTTGATATGTTGTTTTGAAGACAGAAAACTGACAATAGAAATAGAAAACACATCTCTTTGGCCAAGCATTCAAATAATGCATATCATAATCTTGTACTGCAGTTATATCTGATCAAATGCACATTATTATTCTTTAGCTTGGGTTAAACAAATAAATTTTGCTTGGTTGGAACAGCAAACGTACTCAAATGGCCTCTAAAGTCCAACATTGAGAACGCATCACGTTATTAGACATTTTGTAATGCAACAATATTTAAAAGTCCGATAAAAAGTCTGCATTCACAAATTCTTATCCTCATGTTGTTAGTCTAATGAGAGTTTAACGCTTTAACACTGGAAATACTACTTTGCACCTGGAGTTATTAAAGTGCTGTGCCTCAGGGGCAGACCTACCTTGTTCAGGAGGAAGAACTAGTAAGAAAAAAAAGGAGTACAAGAAAATGGAGGCGGGAGGGTGAGTGAGATCTTGTGGGGGAACAAACCTTGATTGAGCAAGACAAACAGAGCTGGTTTTGCCACTTTTCAACTGGGTGAGAGGGAGGCAGAAGAAAAAAAAAAAAAAGACAACTCTCTCACAGGGCTGGGAAAAACAAGATCTGCTAATGATCAGAGATGATAAATACAACCAGTTTCAGGGCAAACGCAAAAAAGATAGGAGGGGGCAGCAAGCAAGCAGGAACAGAGAAGCGACAGAAATAGCGATGTCTATGTCTTCTGTCGGGCCTGTAGTCCACAGAGGTGCTCTGGGACAAGTGTAGGCCTGTTTTATGTGCTCTGAAAAAACACAACTGCTGGCTAAGACATGCATGTTTGTGTGTTTTTAAGGTACTTGGGTGTTTTAGAAAACAAGAACCTCCGTTTATCGAACAAAACCGAACACCTACATCATAATACGAAGCCACTGACGGCTGCTAGTGAATGGCTATTTGAGCATGACTAAATACGAGATTACATAAGAGAGCAGATGGCGTATGAGCATGAGACTTTTTATGATGCTTCATGAATGCGTACGCATGCATGGATTTATACGATGGTTTGCACAAAGGGATCCTCGAGTGGATCGTGTATGTGGATGAAAGCGTGTCGGATACAACAACCCGGCTCTATCAGCCCATTACCTCCCACCCTCTTATCTTTTCTCTAGTTTCCATCCCTCCTTTCGCCACCCCTCCCATAAGCCCTTCTATCTAGAAACACTTGTCTTGCAACCATCACAAAAACTGACTGCAGCGATACAATCTCAGCAGTTGAACCGTGTGTGTTTTTAAGACTCTCTTCAATTGAGGAGTACAGTGGGAAGTTCCTGCAAAATTCAGTTTGGGTGGCAGAAGTTTTAAAGCCAAAAATGACTTCCCTCATATTAAATACATCAATTTGTTAGCTAAAAGCTACGTCATGATGACTGGGCTACCCAGTACAACAAAAACACAGTTCACACTGGCAGTGATTCATTTTAAATGAGCATTTACAATTTTGAGGCGACATGAACAGGGCTGCAACAACCAATCAGTACAATCAAGTATGTTCTTACGCTTTTTAAAATTCAGATTCAATTTGCCTGTTGATTGAAGGACAATGTTGGGTCGGATGTGGAATAACAATAAGACAGGAAATTAAATTTGTGAGATCATATTAACCAGTTACCAAAATAAATGACAGTTGTATTGCAACTTCCCCTTCGGCACATGAACGCACTTGCAAGCTCACTTACCGTACATCTTGCCCTCGTCCGACAGGATGATCTTGCGACGGCCACAGGGTGGATATATAGCCAGTGCCTCCTGAAAGCTCTGCTCGATGTCGGGGCTCCACACGCCCTCGGCGTCTCCGTCCATGGCCTTGTCCAGCTCATCACCCCCATCCTCCAGCCCCTGCTCCGGGCTGCCGTTGGCACTCCACTTGTTGGACGCAATGGTGCCGGCTCCTACCGGGCCCTGCCACGAGCCCCCACGCTACGCAAGTACTGCGAGAAAGAAACAAGGAAAGAGAGGCAGAGAGAAAGAGAACGTTAGTTTATTGTGGACATAAAGATTAAGCAAATAAATCCCCTTTCAAAACCGCTCCCTTTAGTCGTACGCACCCACAATTTTGGGCACCGGTTGAAGACAACAGCAACTGTGACTCTTATTACCATTTCCTCTTCTCAAAAGCTTCCAAAACGACAAATGAATTTTAGACATTATATAAAGCTCCATTTAAAAGGATTAGATAATTAGGACTAGCCTGCAAAAATGCTTGTGGTCGGGAGCGCGCGGTCCAATGTGGCCGTCTAAATGTCTGAAAATGGTTAAGGGATCTTAAGTGTTTTTCAGGCTGCCTCTTTTTCGCATGGTATTGTTCATGAGGATCGGGTCCCGGGAGTCACTGGTGTGCCCACATATTTCATTCTTTTATTTCACTTTCTGCTGACGTTGACGAAAAAACGCAGCTTGGGTAAATACGGCCGACTCCGATTGAGACCTTCCTTTGGGGATATTCAAACACTCTGGTTACACGCACACTGAAAGAATAAGCTTGACTTGGCAGCCCGATGACACAGAATGAGCAAAACAACAGTGCGGAGAGCGTTGGAATATGTGAGCGCGCGGCCTAATTACTTTTCGACATTGCAGGCTTCAGACTTCATCGCGATCTAATGCTGCAGAGAGGACACTTAGCGATACATTTCCAAATTGCATTTGCCTCTCAGGTGACAAGCAACACCGTTCATCCCGTGCAATCAGGACGGCTGCAGTCACAGGATGTTCCAGAGAAGTTACAGAGTGTCTAATGCTGCAGTAGAACCAACATTTGGAACAATTACGCATTAGTTTCTCAAATATACACTCAATATCCTTTACAGACTTGTTTGTATCGGTCACACACTGCAGACCTTTAACCTCAAGCATGAGCTACACTGCATTATAATACAAAACAGTCAAAATTGAGTTATAAAAGACTATGATCTAGAATTAAAGCGAAGCGTGGAAAAACTTGGTGCCACAATGTTAGGGTGTTGTAGGTGATTCACAGTGTGCTTGCTAAGGTGATACGAGTAGTGCATACTTTTATGGAATAAACATTCATTTTGTATTTGGATAGTATTTGTATATTTTTTAGCAGGGTTGAATTTACACCTTGTGTAAATATCTAGTGTGGTAGGAAAAAGGTGTAAAATGCAAATCACTAATTACATGTTACATGATGGGTTGCATTAACTGAAACATTTCCGTCATTTAATTTTTTTTTTTACAAAACCCTCAGTAAAGCAAAAAGGAGAAAAGGTCTCTTTGGGAAGAAAAATGAGAGAAATACACTGCAAATGCAATTAAAAGAAATAATTCGATAAATAATGAGATGTTGATTAAAACTGTAGAGAAGCTGTTATTTTATCATTTACACACTACTATAGCATTTATAAAATTTTTGAATTAAATTTTATTTTTAATATTTTCAGTGTTCATTTTAATTTTAGCTTAAAAGGATAGTTCACTCAAAAATGAAAATTACCCCATGATTTACTCACCCTCAAGCCATCCTAGGTAGGGCTGCGCAATAAAATGGTAACGAATTGTCGCAATATAATTTTCATTGACAAAACGATAACAGGAGTTCGATAAATGTACGATACAATGTTAATGTGCCAAAGTGGAACGAAACAGTGCTGCTCATTTGAACCGTGCCACAAGAAGCATTTATCGGCTCGACTCAAGAGTTCAAATGGCAGCGCAGCGTGAGCTCACTAGAGCAGATGCGTTATTCGCTGATCAGTCTCAGTCACACGACACTAAACAGCGCTGTGAGATCCAGTGTGAAGCGCTTGAATTCACGAAGAACACAAATGATTCAGTGATTTAAACAAGTTTAAAGCCAGACGAAACAGGAGAAACACTGCGCGCAAAGATACAGTCAGAAGGCTTTTCAATCTACAAATTGCCATTATTTACCATGGATTTACTGTACTAACAACTGCACCATGGTATTGTGGGAGAAATGTGAGATACTCATATCGAATTTTATTATGTTATTAATGTTTTATTATGTTATTAATGTAGACATGTATTAAATGTATTAAAGGAGTAATGGAATGTAATTAAAGTAATTTTTGTGATTAAGTGATTAGCGGTTGTGCATTTATACTAAATGTATTTAAACTGCTGTTTTTCATACAAATATCTAGAAACCGTATTTTTACCATGGTAAATGTATGCTACTATGGAAGATCAATGGTTAATTATAATAAAACTCAAACAGTCAGAATAATTAAATTACACCATATAAAAATAAGGTTGTTACAATTTTTACAGATGTTACCGTTTTTGATCATGAACATAAATTTACATCTGCATCCTAACTCAAGCTACTGTCAAATGCGCATTTCTAAGAGACAAAAAAAAAAAAAAAAAGGTAATATTAATATTGCAGCCTTTACTGCAAACTGTGCTGAAGATGCCCGTCATCAAAGTCAGGAACACAAACCTGTTTCATGAATTGAAACAATATCACTCAGAGCATGCAGAAACTAAGAGATTAATTTTCCTAATAAGATACTTATTTTGTTAAGGAACATGACTGGAAAAGTGTAAAGAATTCAAAAACCTGAAGTGTTTGTCATGTTCTGACCATAAAGAGTAGTTTAAAACCACAATTAACCTTTTGCTTTCTACAACTTTCACTTAGGAGAAGAAAATCTGCTTTTAAACTTCAAAGAAATAACGATTTTAATGTATCGTGATAATTATCGATATCGACTGATGAGAAAAAATGTTATCGTGATCATTTTTTTGGCCAATTCGCCCAGCCCTACTCTACACATCTATATGCTGTGATTTCTGCCATGTCACCAAACAAAATCACATAATGCAAGGTAACACAAACAAGCAAACTTTGAGTAAAAAGGCATGACTGCATGCTCTGAAAAAGCTCTCCATTTAGTGTGTGTGTGTGTGTGTGTGTGTGTGTGTGTGCTTAAGGAACATGACTGGAAAAGTGTAAAGAATTCAAAAACCTGAAGTGTTTGTCATGTTCTGACCATAAAGAGTAGTTTAAAACCACAATTAACCTTTTGCTTTCTACAACTTTCACTTAGGAGAAGAAAATCTGCTTTTAAACTTCAAAGAAATAACGATTTTAATGTATCGTGATAATTATCGATATCGACTGATGAGAAAAAATGTTATCGTGATCATTTTTTTGGCCAATTCGCCCAGCCCTACTCTACACATCTATATGCTGTGATTTCTGCCATGTCACCAAACAAAATCAC